TGTGTGTGTGTGTGTATTTTTTTTTAGGAGACATGGGATTTCACCGTGTTAGCCAGATGGTCTCAATCTCCTGACCTCATGATCTGCCCCTTTTGGCCTCCCAGAGTGCTGGGATTACAAGCGTTAGCACCACTCCTAGCCTCTTGTAACTAATTTTCAAAGACTTACAGAGTTTAGATGTTTAGGTGGAGTGAGATCTCCTATTTTTCTTTATGGGAGAGGTAAATTAAACAATACTTTAGTTCGTTATACATAATGAAGTTATTAGTAAAGGAATATTAATGTTCTTGTTTAGTTTCAATAAAAATCTTCTTGAATAATGATTAGGTTTTCAAAACTTGTAATCTTAGTTACTCTAATGATCATAGCCCATACAGGGCTTTCACATTCTTTTAAAACATGCCAAGTTTCCAAAGTAATAAATTGAATTCTTAACTGTAAGTTATAAAAATATACAATGTGTGAAATAGGTTATACAATACAGAAACATAAATGGTGAATCCCAAGTTATTTTTCTATTAATATTTCTAAATGACAGTAGGCAGATGTTTGTCATTTTAGAGCTGGGAGAGACATTAGAGGTTACTATTTACTTTCAGGAAATGGAACACTATGTTACCTGTACCTAAATTATAGGTAAAGTGGTGTTCCATTCAGCCATTTACTGGAATAGAATCAGATGTGGTTTTCAGTAGTGAAATTTTATTTCTTTTAAGTACAGATTGCTGGCTGTGATAATAAAAAAGGCAAAACTTTTTTCATAGCCTATGCTATATACATATATGTTAGTTGCATAGGCTATGCTCTAATGTTATGCTTTAAACCATCAGAAAAATGAATAGTTCATGTTTACATTTTTTAAAATTTTTGGCCATTTAAAATTCTAGGCCCTAGAAATTCAAAAATGAGTAAGTTGTAGCCTTTGTCTTTAAGAAAAACGAAAGTTAATCACAGTATAATATATGATATGGATTTTTATAATTCAGATATTTGTTAATTTGGTTGAGGAAAAAATTATACTGATCTCTAACTGAAAAGTAGCGTCTCCTTCCATTATGAATGAAGGCAGAAAACCATAGGAGAAAGAGAACACTCACCTTTGAGAATGAGTTAATTAAAATGTTAAATGTTTTACAATATCAATTTAATAAATGTTTCAATATTTTTAAATTTTTATCTGATTGTATTTTATTTTGAGTCTTGTTAGTCTTTTTTCCTTTAGTTTTGAGATTTTTTTCAAAGATAGATATAATAAAGCTGATGAAGTTCTTCTGTCACGTTTTAGAAAAGACAGATGATTTTGACTTGGGAAAATACTTGATGGAAGGTGAAGAAATGGATGTTGGTCCAGACATGGACACACCAGTAAGTGACAGTAGTTTTGCTATTAAAAATTTAAATACACACCAGGTGATAGAGATGATTTTAATGTGTCTTTCAACCCTAGGTCAACTAAAATAAAACGGGAACACTTAATTAATCTAGAGTCATTTATCATGGAAGCCTGGTTAGGATTTTGCACCAAATCACTAGTATTAAGAAGCTACAAGGGGGTGGGCATGGTGGCTCACACCTAAAATCTCAGCACTTTGAGAGGCTGAGGAGGGAGGATTGCTTGAGCTTAGGAATTTGAGACCAGCCTGGGTAACATGGCAAGATCTTTTGTCTATTTTTTAAAAATGGATTTTAAAGAAAGACGTTGTTTGGGCACACTGGCTCACACCTGTAAT